GAGGATTGAAGGTGAAGGAGGGGTGAATATGATTATTTCTTTACATTTCAGACGACAACAATTAGTGCCATGAGGCTATTTGCAACACTATTCTACAGAGTAGAGGACTAAACGCCTTACAGCGCAATACCCCAGAAATGTGGCTTTAGAAGAGGAAAGGTAGGATCAAGAAGTGAGCAAGCAATGAATTAGTATTATTAGTGCCAAGCAGATATAGTAACAATGGGTGCCCTACCTTGTGCAGTCTCCACTGATGTCTAATAAACATTGATACAAATAGGCTATGGTTAAAGTGCTGAACTTATTAAGTCTTAAAAGTTTTGTTTTCCCTTAACGCATTATGCATTTACTCACCAATAATGGCTGTCTTTTTAATTTGGTCAAGGGCGACCAGCTGCTCCCCATCCCCTCTGGTTGGCTTTCCACCTTAAAGTAATATTTCAAAATTCTTAGGAAAGGTCGAGAAAGCACGAGTTTTTTTATATAAACATCACGTTTTTTTGGGGTGCAAGTAAATACAAAAATGCCAAGTAAAAAAGTGATGGTATGTCATTACACAAACATCATTTATTCCACAGAATATGAGTGATTTGTTTTTGTTTTTTCAAGGACAGAAGAGATTAGGAACATGTTTTGTACCTTTCAGGTTGCTTTTCAGCAAAGTCTCCAGATCAAAGGTGCCCAGCAGCAGATTCCGCACCATGGCGGTAGCAGAGGTGGCAAGGCGGGCTGCTTTCCACGCTTCTGCCTGGCAAAACACCCCAGACCCCTTTATAACTTCAATCTGAAAAAATATTCAAATCACAATATTAATTTATTGACAACATTTAGAAACTTTTTCATGTTTCATATTGATTATTATGCTTAGCTCCCCAATAGTTATTAGGTTTTTATGTATAAATACAGATTAATGATAAAGATATTAAACAAATTTATCATTGCCCTAGCATTATTAAAGGAGAGAGGAAGAGGTTGGATGGAGAGTAGGGAAGGAGGAAAAGGGAGCACACAGTTTATAACCAGTCTTACTACATAATTACCTGTGTTTTTGCTGAGGTCGCAGCTGTTGCTCCAGTCTTGTTAGAGAAGGAAAACATTGTTAAACTCTTAACACGTAAATTACATATTACCACTAACTATCCTAACATAAAAATCCCTATAGCTAAGTTGCAGCCTTAAAGGCACACCGCGGACTTTGTGACCTAAAGAGTTGACACATATGAGTTATTTTATATGAATACTTGGGCCAATATACAGCGCTTGACACTTGCAATGCTCCGAGCGGGGCTGCCCTCTTGAAATACCGCCCATGTAACTTTCGAGCAGACGGACCGTCTGCCACCAGGTCACGTGACTTGGAAGAAAGACTTGCTTTACGGCTACAGGCGCTGATATACTCATGGAGCTAAGGCTTTTGCTACTCATTTTTCACCTGCTCGACTCCTGGTCATGGCTGAGGCAAGGAAAAATTTTAAACCTTCGGAGGAGGCTAAAAAGAGGAAACGCGAAAGGGATCGTGCTGTAAGCTGCATGTCTGTATGAGCGCTGCTCTTCACCTGGTTCCTGGATGTCATCGACCGCAAAGATGTCATTCCACGCAGCACGAGCTAGACGCAGAACTCCCTCATCCAGGATATAGAAGTCCATGTGTGGTAGATTACTAATGCAGCGGTCTGGAGGCTGACCACAGCAGAGTCTCTCAATATCTGTAGGCATGTCTCTACAGTTTGAACACACACACCAGTGCATGCTGTCTGAATACACACTCAAAAGACACCGGCTGACTGTTTGACTTTTGCGACAGTGCTGAGTTGCTTGTGGCCACTAGGGGCGCTAAACGTGAAAGTTGCAGGTCTAGCGCCCCTAGTGGCCAAGAGTTACACGGTGTGCCTTTAAGTAAAATAAGTTCAGAAATATCTGAGGTATAAAAGGGTTACACACCTGTGGTGTCTCTTGAGAGTGCTCAATCCCCATGGGCCTCTCTGCAGAGGACTCGGTCTCCTCGGAGCTTGATCTCCTCTCTGGAGTCTTAGAGAAGAAAGAAACATAGTAAAAGTCACTATAGATTATTATAAAAACATTAAACATGTCAATAAATTTAAGTTATATGCAAAAGTAATCAGACAAACATAATAAAAATCTATATAGCTATGTTTGAGTATCAAGTAAACAAAATAAATAAATAAAAATGCAATGGCGTTACACACCAGTTCTTCTCCAAAACTATAGGAATCTAGGGGTGTATTCAGACCTGAAAAGTCCTTTGCTCCGCTTCCTTGATCCGAATCAAAAGCGGACCAAACTTTTTTCTTTTGCTCCGGTTCGTATTCAGACTGTCCTTTTTGCAAGTGAACTTTTTATATAAACATATCGACGCGTGTGACGATCGGCTCCTATTGGACAGCGAGAGCTCATGGAGAATGAATACGGAAATGGAGGAAAACATTCAGCTCGTACGTGCAGCATGTCTGCTCTGTTTTTGTTTGCTCTTTTTAGAACAAAACTACCTTCAACTACAACAGCAGCTCATCAGACATAGGCGAAACGCGCTGTTTCAAATTTTGGAACAGCGTCGGAGAATGCGTGCTGTCGAAAGCCGAAGGAGACTCTGTGCGCTACGTGTCCTGTCCCACAGCATACAGACAGCAGCATTGTGGATAAACAGACGACAGAGGATCAGGTAGGAACCAAAGAACACAATTCACTACATGATACGGGATATTGCTTTTGAGACGCGAGTCAAACAGTGTCAGGCTTTTAATAATGTAAATGATTTGAAGATACTACCATTAACATCACTGTATACTGTGAACAATGTTAACTCCATAAGCCTGTTGCAAACAAGTTTTTTCTTTCAGCTCTGCTCCCAAAATGTAGCCCATCACAAGAACTATCTCTTTAGGCAAAAAATGAGAAATATATGTATATATACATTTATATATGTGCGTGTGTGTGTGTATATATATATATATATATATATAATGTATTTAAATGTTTTTTATGTATGTAAGACAGAGACATACACAGGGTCTAAATTGTATTTAAGTTTGATCGATAATGTATCGCTGTAGTTTATGTACTGTATGTACGCTGTTTATTTAGCTCATGTCCTCCTACTTCTTAATATGACACTTTTTCTTATTTTTCAGGACAACCTGGGTCTACCCACGATGCCAGGAATGGTGGCAACTCATTCAAAGAACATGGACAGACAGAGACTGGTTAAACAACTTTAGAATGAGAAAAGACACTTTTCACACTCTGTGGAATTCTACGCCCCTATTTATCTCGAGAGCACACAAGGTACCGAAGACCTCATTCTGTGGAGATCCGTGTGGCAATTTGTTTGTGGAGACTTGCCACTAACCTGGAATACAGGTCCATCTCGCACCTTTTTGGAGTTGGCACATCCACATGCTGCGTTATCACTCAGGAAGTCATTACAGCAATAAATACAACTCTAAAACCACTTTACTTAAAAACTCCCTCTGCAGCGGACTTCAGAAAAATATCGCAAGGATTCAAAGATAAATGGAGATTCCCACAAGTTGTTGGAGCCATTGATGGAACCCATGTGCCAATCAAAGCCCCCACAAACACACCAGCAGACTACTTTAATAGAAAGGCCCAATATTCTATCATCCTCCAGGCAGTTGTGGACAACAAAATGAGAATATGGGATGTTAACATTGGGCAACCGGGACGAGTACATGATGCTCGAGTTTTTGCACTGTCCTCTCTTTTTGATCAGGGCCAGAGGGGGGAAATCTTTCCACAATGGACTGAAAGAATTGAAGGAGTTGAGGTTCCCCTCATGATACTAGGTGATGCAGCATATCCGTTACTCCCGTGGCTTATGAAGCCATTTCGTGAGAGCAGAGATATTGCTGTTGCACAAAGCAACTTCAACTACAGACTCAGCCAGGCACGAATGACAGTGGAAAGAGCTTTTGGGCGTCTTAAAGGACGCTGGAGATGCCTCCTTAAACAAAATGAATCACACATCTCTCTCATTAGTGAAATTATATCGGCATGCTGTGTGTTGCATAATTTTTGTGAAGTTCATCATGAGGAGTATATAGAAGAGGAGGAAAACGTACAACCGGAACATGATTGTGAAGCAGATGTAGAGCATCCTCTACAGGTTGGAGACCGTAGGGGCCGTGACATCAGAGATGCTCTGTCGGTTTATTTTTCAAGATTCTAAAAAGAATCATTTGTCTGTATAAAGTGAAATTGTTGTTGTTAACACACTTTGTTCAAATACAGTAGTTGCAGTGGTACAAAACTTTATTGTTCACATATTGGCACTTTTTAATAAAAATAAAACAAATCAGTGCCAAGTATTAAAAAAATGCTGTTGCAAAAATAATTTAAAGTGCACATATTTCAAGTTCCAGAAGTAACAAAATAAAGGACAATCTTTATGTCATATAATTTTTGTTGTCTTTATACATTCTTTCTCGTCTTGTGCAAAATAACTAAACTTCTAAACTGTAAACTTTCTGTTGAACATTCTGACAAAACAGTCAACTGCCCGGACATTTTAACTAAAGCCCACAATGATAAACATACCTGTGCAAATAAATTATCTACAGGTCATGAAAATGCTGACTGTAATTAACTTGTTGCAGTATGTCTGACACTTGTTGGTTAGCTGGTGACACATTTTGTTCCTCCCCATCTAGTTTGACGGTGGGTGATTGCATGGGTGGTGTAGGGCACTGTTGGGACACTGGGGACTGAAGAATGGACCATGTGCTGCTCGGTGTGGATCTGGTTGGAGTAGACCTGGATGAGGCAGTTGGAAGCCAGTGAGTTAGAGCAGGTGCTTGTGGAGGGTGATATTGGGTGTGTTGTGAAGGATGATTTTTTTGCTTGACTACTAAATGACAGCATATTAACAACAGTACCCATTATCTGACTGATCATCTGTGTATGTGCCTGTTGTTGTGCTTGTATCATTTGGAATCTTTTATCCTCTGCCTGCTGCTGTGCTTTTAGAAGACTCTCCAGAGCTGTACTCTCCTGCGTTTGACGGTTTTGCTCAGCTTCAAACATCTGTTGCAGCTTTGCTTTTCTGGCTTTTCTGGTTTCATGGGCAATATAAGCCTGCAACCCACAGTCAGACGTTGAAGCTTCAGCTTTGCGCTTCCTTCCCAAGTGCCTCCTTGCCTGAACACCACGGATAGCCTGCCTTTCTTTCTTTGTTTCATCACAGCTGGGTGCAGCACTGTGGTCCTCTCCATCAGTGGTGTCATCTGGAGGTGCTGCAGTTTCCTTGTGATCTATGAAATATACACAAAAGCATTACAGTGCAGCAAAAATTAAGCTTTTTATATTACTCCTCTACAGTTAGGTTTGTTGTACTTTTGTTATTGTTATCACATACCTACAAAAAAATCTAGCTAAATTACACATAATAGATGGAAAACAGCTATGTGATACTTATTTTGGAAACAACTGATCACAAAAGCCAGTCAAAACCCCATCAAAAGAAATAGAAATAAATATGAGGCTTACACGGACAATAAAAGGTATTAAAAACACGTACCATTAACCTCTGATTCACCGGAGCTGATGGCAGATGAGTTTTCTGCGGATGAAGGCTCGTCCGCTGTGTTTGTTTCTATTATGTCCACGGGACATACGGTTGGTCTTGTTCCTAATATTTTATCGAGTTCGTCATACCAGGGAGATTTGTCTTTTTCTTCTCCAGAACTCCCACTCTTCTTCAATGCGTCTCGCACCTTCATATAAGTTTGGCGAAGTTTCTTCACTTTGACGCGGCATTGGTCCTGAGACCGCTCATAGCCCCTCTCCTTCATTTTCTCGCTAAATATTTGGAACACCACCGCATTTTTGTGTGTTTTTTCAAGAAGTTGAATTATATTTTCCTCTGCCCAAATTTCAAGGAGGCACAGTGTCTCCTCGCTGCTCCAGGTCTGCCCACGGCTCATTGTTGTTGATAGCATGCGTTAGCAGCTGTGACGTGGGGCTAATTCCTCACAGTTCCCGTCTACGGTGGCTTGTTAAGCCCAAAAAATGCGCACGTATCCTGGAGTTGTGTCGGATGGACACCGGATGTATTCAGACCTGAATCGACTTGGACCAGAATTCGTTTGGAAGCGGACCGAGACCACCTCAAAAAGTGGGTCTCGGTCCGGTTCTTTGGTCCGGACCAGGATTCGTTTGTGTGTATTCAGACCTGCATAAAAGCTTCGGATCAGAGTTCCAAACGAATCCTGGTCCGTTTAAAGTGGAGCAAATGTGCAGGTCTGAATACACCCTAGATCCCCCACAGGAGTCCTTCCAGTCTTGTTCATAGAAGAAAAATATAGTTATTCTCTTCAATAAAGTAAAGTGCAAATACGTCAAATAATTGTAAGTCTCTACAGCTCTGCTTGAGAAACCATTAAAAAAACAAAAACAATAAAAATCACAAGAACTTACCTTTTGAGCAATAATGTCAAGGTCACTTTTCATTTGAGGGATTTCTAGAAAGTAAGTAAGTGCTTTATTGTTATTGAAAGCAATTTTCTTCAATTTCTCCCAAATTCTAATTCAGATTACAATTCAGATTAATTTTGTTTTTTTCCTGGAGCCGATTGCCTTCTTAAGCCGTTGATGTCAGAGAAGCATCATTTATTCTCATGAACTGTATGTTCTGTAGGCCATGACCTTTGTTAAGCCTCTACAAATTCCTCCAGAAAGAGACAAATAAATATAATTCTAATTTGAATGTTATCAACGGCTATATGAGCACCCACACTACCTCACCAGCAAACAACATAGCATTTATTTTGCCAAACACGCACTTCAGCCCATAAAATGTTTAAGTTTATACTTCTCTGCCACCGCAATATCCATCTCCAGAAAAAACTCTGCTAATAAATATGAAAATTAGGAATACTTACCATTAATGATAATGTCTTTCAGACGTGAATTTTCATTTTTAAGAGAATGGACTTCATTTCTCAACTCCTGCAAATTTCTTTGCATTTGGTCAAATTTCCTTCTCTCCCACATCTGTTTGTCCAGGTGTTTTACATATTGAGCAGTTGTCTACGAGAAAGAGACAGAGAGAGACAGAGAGAATAACAAAAGCCAAGTTAAAGCTGGGAGGATGTCACGAGAGGTGTAAGAGGAAGGTGGAAAGAAGTGTAGGGCAGAAATCCGTCCACTTGGCTATATGTAACTGGTTATCCGGCCTCCTGGTGGTTATTCCTTACTTAAAACATGAAACTTCCACAACTTGTATTTCATGTAATTTATTTATGTAATACACTGCACACTGAATATCATAATTTAGGCTACCTTTTTCTTAAAGGGTGGTACTATGTCCTCTTCATTCCCAACATACTCCTCCTCTTCGCTGTTCTGTGAAGGTCTGTCATCCTCCTCCTCGTCTTCCGCCTTCTCCTCTTCCTCCTCCACCTCCTCCTCGTATTTTGAAGAACAACTCTTTGTCACGTCAACCTTCAGAGGGAGAGGGAGAAACAGAGGACAAAGTTCCCTATTGTGCTGGTTTCATTCCTTTATAACAGCTACTGTTGAAAGCAATTTAATGGCGACAGTGGCCCAGATGGGAGAGCGGATTGTCTCCTGATCGGAAGGTCGGGAGTTCGAATCCCGACTCCTGCAGGTGCAGACTGTCGTTGTGTCCTTGGGCAAGACACTTCAACCAATGTCTATGTGTGAATGGTTGGTGGTGGTCAGAGGGACTGTCGCTTCTGTCAGTCTGCCCCAGGGGGAAACTGTGGCTACAAATGTAGCTTACCACCATCAGCATGGAGTGAATGAACCCCACTCCCTTTCATGTACAAAGCGCTTTGGGTGTTTTTTCTTATTAACCCTTGTATTATGTTGAAAAAAAATGACATTGATTATGTTGCGGGTCATTTTGACCCGTACTGTGTAAATGCACTCAAAACAGTCAAGAAAACAGGTTAAACCAATAACAACTTTATTTTAGGTTATATAAATATTTAGAAGAGTGACATACAATACATTTTTAATTCCAACGCTATATTTAAGAAATATTTAGTCTAATCTTCTTGTCCTCCTCTCGGGTCAAAATGACAATTCTTCCTTCCTTCTTTCCTCCTGTCATGCTTTCTCCTTCCTTTTCTCATCCTGTTTTCCTTCTCTCTGTTCATCCTCCTCTATTCCCTTCTTTTCCCTTCCTTCCTTCCCTTCTCCCTTCTTTCCTTCCTACCTTCCTTCCTTCCTCCCTTCCTCTTACCTTGACCAAAGATTTGTACTCTGAATCCTCCTTATCGTAGGAAAATTGACAATCTGGATCAGCAATAACACTGTCCTCTGTCAAATCCTCTGTTTCTCTTCCTCTACATCATTATCCCAGTTCAGATGTCATCCTTCTGGAGCTCATTTTTGGTGAGTTTGTCTAAAGCCTAGCGCACATCGACAGAGTAACTGGAGACTAGTTGAAAACTAGTTGCAAGGCGGCTTTTGGCAACTGAGAGTAGATGATCAGTTGCCGAAATCGGTCGATGTGAGCGCTCTTACAACTGGAGATAAACAGTCGATCTCCGGATTCAGTCAAATGCCCGTGTTCTACTTTTCGGCAACTAGTTGTCCTCAGATCCGGAGATATCACCCGATGTGCGCGCTCCGTGGCGCGCTCTAACAACATGTGTGTATTGCGCGCCCTCTACAGTTTATGCAGAAAACACACTGTAGTTGAGGCCAGTTGCTGTCGATGTATGCGCTGTTATTCCCAAGACTGGTCTGCTACTAGGAGTTGCCCGTCTTTGCCAGATTGTTGATGTGTGTGGGGCAGCAACTCAAAGGCGACGGATATAATCAGTTGCCAGTCCAATATACGCTAGGCAAAAGAGATGACATAAGAACAGTGACAAGGACAAGTGTGAGAAAGTTCCCTCTCTTCACACACCTGGCTCTGGGTCTCAGAGGCAATCAAAATACAATGTCAAAGAGACATGTTTTTTTGGATCTGAACAACTATTTACTCACATTTAAGCGTCTGGGTCAAAATGACCCGCAACATCATCTTTGTATACAAACTCTGCACAGACATTCCACTACACATCAAAGTGTCCAGATTTTACACACCAGTTCATGACCCTAGATGAGGAAAAGTCATCAAATTTCAGCAAGAAAAAGAAAGGATAACCAGTACTTTGATCAACACAAAAACTGAAATGGGTCAAATTGACCCTTAACATAATACAAGGGTTAAAAGCGCTACACAAATAAGATTCCCTTATCTACCTTATTCCCCATAAAAATCGTACTCATCATGTATTGTAATGTAACAACACACACAGGATGCAGACTGGTAGTGTACCTTGTTCTTTGAAAGTCTCTCATGACCCTCCTGCTTCTCACCCTCCTGGTGCTTGTATTTTGAAGCCCCTCCCTTTTTATTATCAACCTTGAGAGACAGAGAGAGACAGACTGACTTTTAGCCCAACTCTTATTAACTTACGTTACACCACACCACATACATCTTGTCAAGGGACATAACCTTAAGTAAAGCAGCAATTGGTGCAGTCACTTACCTTTTTCTTTGAAGCCTTCTTAGTCTGCCCCTGCAGCTTACTGTACTTTGAGTTTTATGTAATAATATAATTATGTGTGTGTGTGTATATAATGTAAATATTTCTGTGTGTATATATGTACATTTGCTTTTGGTGTGGACGTAGATCATCAAAACTGCCAATGAAAACATACAGGGAAAATAACACTGCACCTGATGGACCAAAATACTGTGAACAACAGTAATACTCATTTGCAGAGGATCTGATTATGGATTTAGGTTGAGTTTATATTTGGGTCACTCACCGCTGATGTTCACAATTCTTTGTTCATTTTTCATAAAGTTCGAGAGAGTTCTCTGGTGTTCTGTACATAAACAACACGCAAAGCCTAAATTAGTACACAGGAATATACAGCAATGATTTGCAACAAGGCGTGTTAAGGTTTGTATAATGGACCCCAAAGCAGACTGACACTGAGAGTGGCTCCCGAAAAAAATAAAGTTTATTTAACAAAAAAGGTTGGGCGGTGAAGACAGGAGGCAGGCAGGCAGGCTGGTCAAAAAAGGTGAACCTGAACAAAGGAGTAAAAGTTATGACTCAAAAGGACAAAATAACATGAGCTGGACAAAAACCACTGACGAGTACTGACGTGAGACATAAAATAATCTGGCAGCGAAGTGGAGTGGAAACCAGGCCCTTGAACACTGCAGATGAGGAATATTGGAGGCAGGTATGCCTCCCTCCACTGGAAGATGAGCCGGCCATGCCCCCGTCACACACGCCCTGCAGAGAAAACAAAAGGGAGGGGGAGCAGCACAAACAGATCCCTAACAAAGTGCTTTTTAAAGAAATGTTTTAGAAGTCACTTTACCACATTTACTTGAACTGTTCAAAAGACTAACTCATCTAATGAAAATGTAAGGGATAATGTATAGCATAAAGGTCATTATCGGAAAATAAGTACCGCCCTGAATTATCCCGCTTATTATACTGCTTTGTACCAACTTAAAACACAAAATAAACTTCAGATCACTTTTATGAGTGCCAAAAGTTTATTTCATGACAACAAATAAAGTAGTCCCAAAAGGCAGTGTGGCTTTGCGTGTTATATCCAGCTACTTATTCACATTAAACCGGACATTCCCGTTGAAGGTGCAGTTGGAGATGAGGAATGGTGGTGTATCTCTGGCTAAGTCTGAAAGCCTTACTCCCGTTAAACTCAGGAGCGATTCCCCCAGCTTCTCTTGCAGAGACAGAAGTAGTGGGCGCCTCTGGAAATAGATAACACTAGCGTAAATATGCTGAACAGGGCTTGAGGAATAGAAGGGAAAAATGTAATAAGGCAACTCACCAGAAAGGATCTGGCTCCACTTCTCCCGGTCAGATGTTGTGGGAGTCCAGTAGCTCTTCAGACTGGTTTCGCATCAGTGTCCGGTAACCGTCATAATCTCCAGTGTTTGCAGGCCGGCTTTTGACAATAGCCTGCGCAGTACAGTTGTGCAGCTATGGTTGGTGTAGCGCCTCGAAAGTGCCGCTGCCTTGCTAATATTTGGCATCATTTGTCCCAGTGCGTTATGTCCCATGGGCTCCCTGGAATACCAGATGTTCTGCTGGTTCAGGTCTTCCTGTGGCTTTCTAAGAGGGTGAAGGTAGAATGCAGGGGAATCCGGTGGGCAAAAGGGAAAGATACAATTCAAAGCTTGCAACTGGACAACTTGGGTTTGTTGGCTCAGCAAAAATGCAGCCGCGATGTATCTGTTGCATCGCATCCAAGGGGTTTTTGTGATTTTTTTTGTGTCAGCGTTGTAGGATAATGTGATAAATTCTTTTCCATTTTCATCTTGCTTGAATATAAACAACTCTCGTGTTAGGTCCCGGTTACCTTCTCTTCCCCTACGTGCAAGGTGTAACTGAACATCAAATGGAGGACCACAGTTATATAAAAGAACCATGGAGGACCACAGTTATATAAAAGAACCATGGAGGACCACAGTTATATAAAAGAACCATGGAGGACCACAGTTTTATAAAAGAACCATGGAGGACCACAGTTATATAAAAGAACCATAGAACAACAATCTTTTAGAAAAATAACTATGCAAAAGTCTAGAAACAGCAGGTAGCTCTCATTGTCACAGGAAATACATAAACCAATTTAACACAACTTTCCAGTTTTGGTGGAGAGAGAGAGTTAAAATGTGTGTGTTCCTCAGGTGAACATGTGTGTGTGTGTTCCTCAGGTGAACGTGTGTGTGTGTGTGTGCGTGCGTGTGTGTGTGTGTGTTTGTCTCAGGTGAACATGTGTGTGTGTGTGTTTTCCTCAGGTGAACATGTGTGTGTGTGTTTTCCTCAGGTGAACATGTGTGTGTGTGTGTGTGTGTGTTTTCCTCAGGTGAACATGTGTGTGTGTGTTTTCCTCAGGTGAACATGTGTGTGTGTGTGTTTTCCTCAGGTGAACATGTGTGTGTGTGTGTGTCTCAGGTGAACATGGCCGTTGTGAACAGTGACCCGCTGCAGATGCCGGCTCTGGGACGTCCCTTTAATCTGGGGATGTTGTACGACGCCAGAACAGACCAACTGATCCCAGGTCAGTGACTTCTACAATGAAATATCTTACAGCGCTGAAAGTGGAAAGTAATAACAATTACAGCCGCAGGTTAAAAAAAAAAAACACTACATTTGGTTCAATTTATGATGACTGATTCATGATCAAGTAACAACAAGGTTTTCTTTATTCACATTTTGTTGGCAGAAAATATTCACTTCATAACAAACTTTTGTAAGTTATTTAAAAACTTCTGGGTTGCAACCATGTGACCAAAAGGGGGGGTGGCAGGGGGCCATAGGACAGGAAGTATTTTTCTCCTAGTAGTAAGAATGGGCGATGCGAGAAAACCGCAGCGTTAAGCTAACAGTGGTGGCCTGCAACTAACACAGCCGTCCTTGGGGCAAAGAGCTTGGATACGACTTCAGACATTACCCTGGTCCAAACAGTCCAAGACCCTGGTCCTAACAGTCCAAGACCCTGGTCCTAACAGTCCAAGACCCTGGTCCTAACAGTCCAAGACCCTGGTCCTAACAGTCCAAGACCCTGGTCCTAACAGTCCCAGACCGTGGTCCCCACAGTCCCAGTCGTGGAAAAAACAATAAACAATCACTCTGATAACACAATGTTAGATTATATAGATAGAAAGATACTTTATTGATCTCCTGCAAGAGAAATTCAGGTGTCCAGTAGCACCAAAAACATGTGCATCCATACAAACAAAAGAAATAAATGGATGATTTAAAAAGTAGCTAACAATAGTATTAAATGCAACAGTATTTTAGGTCACAGCAGCAGAGGTGCAACATCCGTTGGATGGAGCAGGACCATGGATCTATAAAACAGTTTTTCCTATTGCTTGAACACGCTCATAGTCCCAAAACTCTACACACAAGAGAACCTGACACACACTGGGCCATACACCATTCACATCTGGGCCAAAATTAACCTTCTCTACAGTATCAAAACTCAAACTCTGCTCTCAAAACTAAACAATAATTTGTCCAAATGAAACTCTGAGGACTAAATGACACACACTTGCAGATTGGAAGCAACACACTACAGTACTTTATATAAAACACTACAGTCACTTTAACTGTTTTTATTCTGTTTATCAGTTAGTTTTTTTCTGTGGGGCTCAACAGTTTTTGTTCTCAACAAAGGCTTATCAATAACCAAAAATTAAAGTACTAATATAATATCTCAAAACTGTCCATTTAAGTACTACAGGCAAGGCAAGGCAAGTTTATTTGTATAGCACAATTCATACACAAGGCAACTCAAAGTGCTGAACAAGAAAGCATTAAAATCATAAATAATCACAGAACATTAAAACGAAAGATAAAAATATAAAATCCCTCAGTTGTATGCACAGCTAAACAGCACCGTTTTTAACTTGGTTTTAAACATTGTCAGAGAGGAGGCCTGTCTCACATCTTCAGGAAGATTGTTCCAGATTTTAGCAGCATGAATCTGAAAAGCAGCCTCCCCATGTTTAGTTCTGACTCTGGGCACTAACAGGAGTCCAGTCCCTGTGCTCCTCAGAGTCCGGGCTGGTTCATATGGTACTAACATGTCACTAATATATTTTGGTGCGAGGCCATGGAGAGACTTGTACACAAGCAGAGCTGTTTTAAAGTCTATTCTCTGAGCCACAGGAAGCCAGTGCAGAGACCTGAGAACTGGACTAATATGGTCGTACTTCCTGGTTCTAGTCAGGACTAATGTGGTCGTACTTCCTGGTTCTAGTCAGGACTCGAGCTGCTGCATTTTGAATGTACTGCAGCTGTTTTACAGCCTGTTTGGACAGACCTGTGAGCAGGCCATTGCAGTAGTCTAACCTACTGGAGACAAATGCATGGATAAGAATCTCCAAGTCTGCTTTAGACACTATGTTTTTGATCCTGGCAATGTTTTTAGATGGTAAAAAGCTGCTGATGTTACTGATTTGATGTGGCTATTAAAATTTAAGTCTGAGTCCAGTATTACCCCTAGATTTCTGACCTTGTTTGAAGGTTTTAGGGAGAGAGACTGTAGGTGACAGATGACGCTCTCTCTTTGTTTCTGGGGACCAAAGACAATCATTTCGGTTTTGTCTGCGTTTAGCTGAAGGAAGTTGTTTTGCATCCACTCACTGATCTGTTGGATACAGTGAAGGAGTGAGTCCACTGGTCCATGTTCTCCTGCAGTCAGTGAGACATAGATCTGAGTGTCGTCTGCATAGTTGTGATAGGACACTTTGTTTCTGCGTATTAACTGACCTAACGGCAGCATGTAGAGATTGAACAGAAGAGGTCCCAGGATCGACCCCTGTGGGACTCCACAGGTCAGGTCCATATGATCTGAGACACAGTTTCCAATCTCCACAAAGTACTTCCTGTCTTCAAGGTAAGACCTAAACCAACTTAGGGCGGTGCCAGCGACGCCAACCCAGTCCTCTAGTCTCTGTAAGAGGATCTCATGGTCGACAGTGTCAAAGGCAGCACTCAGATCTAACAGGATTAGGATTGAGACTTTGCCTCAAAGTCGTCAGTGTTCAGCCGGATATCATTTGTAACCTTGACGAGAGCAGTCTCAGTGCTGTGGTGGGGTCTAAAGCCGGACTGAAACATATCAAATGAGTTGTTGATTATAAGAAATCTAGTAAGCTGTAGGTAGACAACTTTTTCAAGGACTTTCCCCATAAATGGCAGATTTGAGATGGGACAATAGTTGTTAAGTACCGTAGCATCCAGACTGCTCTTTTTTAGCAGGGGCCTGATGACTGCAGTTTTCAGGGCCTTTGGGAATATTCCAGAATTAAGGGACATGTTTACTATCTGTGTGAGTGAAGGTAACAGACTGCTCAGAACAGACTTTAGAAATCTAGTGGGTAGTACATCCAGGCTGCATGTGGAGGAGCTCAAACTGGAGATTATCTCTTGGACAGTTTGATCATTTACAGGTGCAAAGTAAGTTAGCTCAAAGAGCCTTTCGGCGGCTGTTGGATTGTTATCTGTGGATTGGAGACAATGGCGTTTTTGATGCCTTGAACCTTGTCATTGAAAAAATGTGCAAACTCATTACATTTACGTTTGGAAGTTAGCTCTAATGGCATTTGAACAGGGGGGTTTGTTAATCTATTAACTGTTGAAAACAGAACACGCAGATTGTTGCTGCAGCCTTCAATCATTTCAGAAAAATACCTTTCTCTTGTACTACGTAGCACCTGGTTAAACTCGCACAACTTATCTTTGAAGATCTTGTAATCAACCTGGAGGTTGGACTTGCGCCACTTCCGCTCGGCCCTCCGGCACTCTCTCTTTTGTGCCCTGACCGAGTCTGCTTTAGCCCACGGCGCCTTCTGCTTATTTTTCACTATTTTAACCTTCACAGGAGCGATGGTGTCCAGAACTTCAAAACACTAGAGGTGACAGAGTTAAACAGTTCATCTACAGTAGAATACGATGCATTCTCAAAGTTTATCATTCCCATAAATAGTTCACCCGTATTTTCATTTATGTGTCTTCTTCGTACAGTTGCAGAGTCCACTGGTGGTTTGTTAGTGAAACACATGTCAAAAAATATACAAAAATGATCCGAAAGCGCAACATCGACCACGTTTACATAGATATATGTTCGCCCCCTTTGTAACTAACAGGTCTAGAGTGTGCCCTTTGCTGTGGGTGGGGCCACTCACATGCTGAGTGAGACCAAAAGATTCAAGAAGAAACTCAGCTCTTTAGCATTTCTGTCATCAACATTATCCACATGAATATTAAAATCACCTGTAATAACTAAACTATCAAAATCTGTGCATACAACTGAAAGCAACTCTGTAAAATTATCAATAAAACTGTGACATGACTGCGGTGGCTTGTATAGGACAACGAAAAGTATTGGAGGAGATTGTTTTTGTTGTATTTTAAAAGACACATATTCAAAAGACGGAAACTTCCCAAGAGACATTCTATGGGAGACAAAGTGGTCTCTGAAAATGGCAGCTAAGCCTCCTCCTTTTTTGTTTTCCCGTATTTCAGATTCAAATTTGAAATTTGGTGGTGATGCTTCTATTAAAACTGCATTTTCTGTATTTTGGTCAAGCCATGTTTCAGCCATGAACATAAGATCTAGATTATAAGAACAAATAAAATTATTGATTAAAAAAGACTTGTTACAAAGAGATCTGACATTTAGCATAGCAAGTTTCAAAGTTTCAGGATCAGCGGTTGTGGTCGGCTGATTCTTACACGGAACAAGAATTAGATTTTCATGATTAGACTGATTAACTCCAGATGTTTTTCTGTTATGTATTCTTTGTGTTATCACTAAGGGAATGGCACAGGTGGCTTCACGACAGGGCCCCAGCCGGGTCTCTCCTCTAACTAGACTGCCAGTGGCTGCGAAGCAGAGACCCTGTGCATCCTAGTGTTTAGAGAAAAGAGGGGTAGGGGAAGGCGGGGGAGGAGGATGGAGAGGCGGGTGGTTCTTGGGAGTTGGACGGGGAGGGGTTGAAGGTGGATGGGTTTTTGGTGATGGGTTAGGGGAGGGGCAGGCTGAGTTGGGTGGTGGACGAGGGGGGAGTGGAGGTGGAGGGTTTCTTGGTGCTGAGTTAGGGGGGGGGAGGGGGGCTAAATGAGCAGGAGGGGGGGGTGGAATACTTATGGGGTTAGAGGAGGGACGGGTGGATTTTGTGGGAGAATTTGAGTTGGACGCCCTAGGTGGCTTTGGAGGTACGTATGGGGAGTAGTTTTGAATGTTAGATAGGACTCTTGATCTGGCTACAGTGGGTGTGAGAGGAATAGTCTTCATCGCCGATCTTATCATGCCTGCAGAGTGTTCCGGTAAATCCAGTAGTGAAGGCGGGGATAGAAAACAAAGGGAAAGGTCGTCCTCATTTTCCCTAGATGGAGTGGATGTAGCGGGGGGGACCCAAGCCGGGTCCATGGAAGGTGATGAGGGAGTCTTTGGTGGAGACAGAGGTGGTTGAGGAACCCCCAGTACAGGCCTGACTGTAGCCTGGAGTAATGGGGGAAGCTTCACGGGAGCTGTAGGTGGGGAAG